TCCATCCTAATTACTGAACCGCGCGCGCCCTGGCGACGTCATGGAAATCTTAGAGGGGCGGGAATCAAATGTCGCGTCGAGATATAACGGAAGCGAAGTGAAGTTAGGAGAAAGTTTAGCCGGTAATGAGGGACGATACGGGAACATATCTCAGAAGGTGACAACCTGCTAGGAAGCAATGTTTCACATCCATTACATTTTATTTGCGCAAAATTTATAACATCCCAAATCTGGTCAGAATTTATTTCATGTGTGTGTGTGTGTGTGCTCACCTAGTTGTGCTTGCGGGGGTTGAACTTTAGCTCTTTGGTCCCGCCTCTCAACAATCAGCAGGCGTACAGGTTCCTGAGCCTATTGGGCTCTATCATATCTACACTTGAAACTGTGTATGGAGTCAGCCTCCACCACATCACTCCCTAACCCCCTAAAGTGTTTGTGTGTGTGTGTGTGTGTGTGTGTGTGTGTGTGTGTGTGTGTGTGTGTGTGTGTGTGTGTGTGTGTGTGTGTGTGTGTGTGTGTGTGTGTGTGTGTGTTTGCGCGCACGCTCGAGTGTCTAAGTGTTTGCTCGCGTATTTGTGCCTGCAAGACTGAGTTTCGGCTCTTTCACCCCCAATAAAGAAAAATTCCCAATAAAATACAAGAGTACCACGAATGATTAATACAATAACTCCTGACCTAAATTTATTTATCTACATACCTGTTAAATTATGATATAACGGAAACGTTTCTAATATTCGTGGGATGTTTACAATATCAGGGACACGTTTGTAACACTCTTGGGATGTCTATAATGTCAGGGAAACGTTTGCAATATTCGGGGGAATATCTATAATATAAAAAAAAACTTTGTAATATTCGGGGAATTGTAATATCCGGGAAACGTTTGTAAAATTATTGGGATTCTAAAAGGGAAAATTTCATAATATTCACGGGGAGTGTTTGTAATAATGCTGGTGAATCTCTTTATTATTCTCAGGAATGACAGCAAGTGGGAAGATATTTTTTTTCCTTTTCTTCAAAATTTAATTATCTCTAACACTGTCAGCGTTGAAGTATTCAGACACGGCTCGTAAATGAAACCGGACTTTTAAGATATTTTTTCGCCATTCAAAGGAATTTTCGGTAATGAGGTTGTCTGCGAAGTGTGAGTGATGAGTTGTAGCTAATTTTATGCACTAGAGGAGTTGTGCTACTTTTCGTTCGCCTTTCTCTCAGCCGGATTTTTTAATATCGTTTTTGAAGGAGAATTCTGATGTCGCTTGTTATTGTGGTTTATGTTGAGGATGTTTGACGGATTTTGACGGATGTTGGAGGATTTGTTTAGTGATGGTCGGTATTCCAGGCTTGGTACCTGCTTTTGGTAATTACTTTGTGTTATAATACTGGGTGAACTGAACGAGACTTCGTTGAGATGGGTTAGGTGAGGGTCGAGTAGACGAGACTGGGTTAGGATATATTAGGGTAGGGTAAGTAAGATAGGTTAGGATAGGGTAAGTTAAGTTAGGGTGGAGTATGGTATGTTACGGTAGAGCAGGGTAGGCATGTTTAAATTTTACTCCCCATATGAACTTCAGTGCCTCAATCTAGCCCAAAAAGTGCTTTTATGGTAAGTTCTTTCAGGGACATCATAGGAACTGGTAATTGCCAATGATGTTTGGTTTCCTATGATGGTGGTAATCCCGTTTTCTTTCATGGTGCTGATGCCATTTCTGCAGGACTCCGCCCTCCCGCCAACCGTCGCCATCAACCACCCACCTCCTTCGGTGGCCGTAACCTGGTTTGTGAGGCGCGTAATGAGGTGAAGATGGGCACGTGTAGCACCTGTCGACTAAGACATTGTCACTAATTGCCCGTTAGCCCGTCCATTACCAACCTCTGGCGAACGGGAGGGAAGACCTAGTGTTTGGAATATGAAACCTATTTCAGTGCTTCGTTAACATCTGTTTTGTCTTCTTTTACTGTAAAAGACTGGTGCGCCCCCATCTGGACTACTGTGTCCAAGCATAGACACTGCACCTTCTAAAAGACACTTTTAATAGAAAATTCAACAGACAAAAATCATCCCAGAACAAAGTCAACTCTCATACAATAGAAGGTTGAGGACCACAGGACTAACAACACTACTAACTAGACATGACGGCGCTGATCTCATCGAAATCTTTCAAACACTGAGCAAGTTGGAGGATATTAATCTACACCACTTCTTTAAGATGTCAAATGTTAGGCATACAAGGGGCAACAGCTTCAAGCTCAACAAGCCACAACATAAGACAGAAGAGAGGAGATTTTATCCTTAGTGTTATAAACCCATGAAACTGCCTATCCGCCGTAGCTGTAAATGTTAAGCCAGTACTCTATTTCAAAATCGAAATAAAAAAACCTCAGAAAGAATGGAGGGAAATTTGACAAACCGTCGGTTTCCTGTCCCCGACAAAGCCAATAGAAGGACATAGCTTGGACGCTTATGATCATGCATCAAGGTGGCTTAAATGGTTTCGGATTGGGCATCAATACGGCTTGGCCGGTTTCTTACTCTGCAACAACAAGGTTTAGACAGTTTCTGATCAAATGTCAACATAGTTTGAAGGGTTTCTAATCCTCTACCAACATGGCTTGAAGGGTCACTGATCCTTTGTCAACACGGCTTGTTGTTCCTCCTTCAGCACGTCACCGGCAGCCACGACATAACCAACTAGTGACTCCTGAAGACGGCTCATCCTCGTTTCCAGCGGACAGGACCGACGGCCCCAAACGTTATAACCTCATTAAAACTTTACTCTGACATGTGCCATTCCAACTCTCCGACAGCTCTCAGAGAATTTATTCCCAGCGCTTCCTAGTGATCTGTTGGCGGCTCGATTACACTTTTTAAAAGGAATACAGTGGCAGGAAATTTATGTGCTTAATTTTATACCCCCGGAATTTTATATTTGTTGTTTTATTTCGGTTCTAGTTCCTGGATTTTGCGTTGGACTTCAACACAGGAGTAGGTGTATCAGAGGTGGAACCAATATTATATATATTGTATAATCACTATCCCTTTCATAGAATGATTCAAGCTCTCATACACATAGCCCTGTCTCCAGGATCAGCTTCCATTAACATTCTTAATTAACTATAAACACCAAGGAAGAGATAACATTCGCCTGCTCTAAGCGACCCAAAGTGGGCAATTTCCAGCAGACATTTCATGAACTTGAAGGTTCATTGACAAATACATTCCAGCATCGAGACTGAGCAGCGCCTACTCCACACAGGCATAAAGTGAACACGACTGAACAAATTTACATAGAAATAAGGTTTCCTATTGCGTGCCTCTGAGCTGAGTCTCCCTGTCCGTGTATCACGAGAGGTTAATCAGGATGTTTATATGCACCTGTATGGTTGGTACGTCTCACAATAGTTCTTATGTATAGTCTTATGAGGACTGACGGTCACTTTAACACTTGGACTCCTTGACTATGACGTGTTGACTGACTGCCTAGTGTTGACTCTCATGTGCTGGCTGACTGCTATATGTTAACTGTCATGTGCTAACTGACTGCCATATATTGACTGTCATGTGCTGACTGACTGCCATATGTTAACTGTCATGTGCTGACTGACTGCCATATGTTGACTGTCATGTGCTGACTGCCAAATACTAATTGACTGTCATGTACTGATTGACTAACTGCCGCGTCTTTACGTTTCTGAGAGAGAAATTCTCATGACGGTGTTGATTACAAGAAATAATAAAAACACTGTAAAAACAAACAAATATTATTAACTATAAGTCTTTTCACGAGACTCGAGAGCCCTCAGAGGGGAGCTCTCTGGTTCGCCTCAACATAAATAAGGTACAAACTATGAGTCTTCATTCAGTACCCATGATCAATGGTCCAATAAGAGCACACTGCCTGCCGGTGATAACAATTTGGTGCCATGACAACAAGGTTGGTGTTGCACGTATGCATTAATATGGTTGGGTTATGTTAGCTTTGCTTGATTACCTAACAGGAGGGAAGAGTTCTATGGATCATCAGGACCACAGGACTTAACATTCTAGAGAATGGAATGCTCTTAGACTGTTTCCTATCCTCAGTCTAAGCCAGAAGAGGCCGTCACAACTACTCTCCGGCAGTGAAAGTGAGAAGCATCCTCACTGTCCTGTGGAATGCTCGAGAGCCAGAAACGGATGTAAAAATTGTTCCTCACCTCGGCAACAGTTGGACACCAAAGATATAAAAACAAATGCACGTTACTCGTGTATCTCTTTGCCAGTGTAACCTTTTAACGACTCTTCCACTATTACGCAGCAACGGACGACCACATAGGCACATCCATTTGTACAATCCAACAACAGAGCTAGCAGCGTATGCATCTGCTGACTCTATAGTATAAAGGAAAATGTTTCCTCGTGCAGTATACTCACATAAATACACACATGCCTAACCACAGAGGAATATATACGCATGAAGAACTCAACGAGGAATACATTTCATTTTCCAAACAAAAATATCATATACACTGTCTACTCAGCCACAAAGATGCATGTGATAAACGTGAAGGGGCACAGGATATCATATAGTTGGGAGGGAACAGTTCCACTGGCTACCTGCAAATATCATATGCCGGCGAATCCAATTTTCATGAATTGGGAAAATGGCACGACCTGTGGGATTATTACAAGGCAGAGAGGCAACGACAAAGTGTGTGTTTACATGCTTGAGTACTCATCTACTCATCTGTATGTGTTTGTACAGATAATTTTCAGCTCCAAAGCCTTGCGATGGTGGTGGTCGTTGTGGTGGTGCGGGTGGTTGTGGATGATGATCAGTCATTGTCGCAATGACTGTATTGTCTGGTTGTAGGGGTCGTCATCAAGGGATCACACAGAAGCTTGCAACTGGCTGCCCCAGCAGCATCCCGACACATTAACCTCTCTGCATAAGACTGAGACAAATAAAAAGCTGTTCATTATGTGCCTAGAGGAAAGACAGACCATCTGACACATCCATATGTATCGTCTAAAGGAACCGGGCTGTGGAGTGAATGTGCCACGGGAAGAGAACCTGGCTGGCTCAACTTCTACAGACATTGCATTTAAAGAAACTCTAATCCTTCAGTGGGGTACAACAGGTACAACAAAGCTGGTAGGCGGGTCATAAAGAACTTAGACCTCACTTCCCCGCAGCCTCTGTTAGGTAAGTTTCTGTTAGATAAGTATACCTAATATGCCAGGTGGGCCCTATTTTACCTATGAGGCACGACAACACCATTACCCAGATTTGGTCACCGATTTCAAGAGTGACCTTTTCCCCTTGCAGAAACCAAGAAAATTGTTTTCATCAATCCCCATAGACCGTATACATGAGCATAACAACGTCCTCTTTAAAGAAGACGGCGGAGCAGTTAGCCTTACTGTCAACCAAAGTGTCTCTCATTGTTAGAAGGTTGTGAGACCAAAGGTTACCATAGCGAAAGACGATCCCCAAGATGGACACCTGTGCAGTATAAGGCAAATGAATATCTGCGTAGTATGAGGCGAATAGACACCTGCGCTGTAGGGCAAATAGAGAATATACATCTGTGCAGAATAAGGCGAATGGACTTATGTCACAACGACCAGAGAGTTCCTTATGGAAGAGGTCTTGTACGTCTTGGAGGATGAGATAGTCTGAGAGATCCTGATGGATGAAGAGTCCTGGTGGATGAAGGGTCCTGGTGGATGAGCAAGGAAGGTTAGGGTGCAGGAACGGACGCAAGGTCAGCTGCGAGGAACCTAATCAATACCTCAGTTGTGAGTCTTTCCTCCCTCCCTCCCTCTTTCCTTCTTCCCTCCTTCTTATTTACCTCCTTCCTCTCTCCCTTCTTCCCTCATTCCGTCCTTGCTCACTCTCTCTCCCCTTCCTCGTTCCTCCCTCCCTCCCTTCTACCTTATTTCCGTCATTCATTCCTCCTTTCTAACTCTCTCCTATCTTCTTCCCTCCCTCTTTCCTAAATTTTTCATTCCTTCCTCTAACATTCATCCTGCCTTTCAAATTCCCCTTTTTCCTACCTCCCTCCCTTCCTTCTTTCTCCCTCCCTCCCTACATATATACATACTTCCTCAATCTGACCTCCTTCCCTTTCTTCTTCCTCCCTCTTTCCTCAGTTCTTTCTCCCTCCCTCGTTCCTTCCTTCCTTTCTCCCTCGTTCCTTCCTTTCTCCCTTTCTCCTTCCATCCATTCGTTCCTTCCACTGTTCCTTTGTGTCTTTTTTCATACATTTCTAACCTTGCTAAACCTTTCCAGCCTTTCCATTCCCTTTTCACTTTTCCTCTTCTTTCTCAATATTGATATTCTTTTCTTCTCAGCTTTATTTTGAATGTCCGTCTCTCTCTTGTGTTTCTCTTTCCAAGTTCCTCTAAGTACTTGCTTTGCTTTTGACTTATTTTTCCATCAAATTGCCCGTCAATCTCCACATATTTCTATTTTTAGATTTTACTTGATTAAAATTTCCTCATTTTCCATTATAATCTGCGTAATAAACGGGAGTTTTCCCCTGAACTTTTTCATCTACTTGAAGACCAAGGCTCTCTCATGGAGCAATTATTTCTGTAGCCCCTGAATAATAATAATAATAATAATAATAAAGATTATTATTATTTATGATTTATTATTATTGAGAAAATCCGTAGGAGCCGTGATGAGGGTTCGAACCATAGCGGTGTGTAGCCCCCACGCACACGCCTCGGACAATATTGTTATTATAATACTACAGAGATTATTATTAGTAGTAGAAGTAATGTTATTTTACCAAAAACCGAACTTTGTGAGACTGTAAATGATGTATTGTCCACAGGACAGAGATCACAAGGGTTACAGTGGTACAGAGTACATAAGCGTTACAGTTGTCCACATGTTCAGGTCGTGTGAGACAGAATCAGACATATGTACAGAATGTGGCTGGACACGTATGAACCAGTTGGTATTTTATGCCAAGCCGGTGGGTGATTTTTAACTTAAACCTCGGCTTAAAATCCAGTCGTTTTAATGACGAAAAGCTGACTGGTTTGTGGCTAGCTGGCTGGCTGGCTGATTGACTGGTCAAGTGGCTGACTGGGCGCGTGGCTGGCTGGCCGGCTGGCTTTGCGGTCAACTGGTGTTGACCCTTGTGGCCAGCGCATCATCCATTTTAGTTAAGATATATATATAGGCCCCTTCCGGACCGGCCAGTCACCCTTTATATTCGAGACGTGGCTCAATATACACCATCTCGAAGGGTGCCACAAGTTGCCGCGTGAGGAGGTAGGAGAGTGGGGTAGTTGCCACGTGAGGAGGTAGGAGGGTGGGGTAGTTGCCACGTGAGGAGGTAGGAGGGTGGGGTAGTTGCCATGTGAGGGAGGAGGGTGAGGAACAGTTGTCATGTGAGGAGGGGGGGGGGAGGGAACATTGACGGGAGCTGGGGAAGGTTTTTGTTTTCGTTTTTCTAGTCAATTATGAAATAATTTGGCTGGACGGATGAAATTATGACCAAGGGCTTCAGTCACGAGAAACTGCTGCTAATTTCAATTTGTTCAAAACCATTTTTGAAGACACCATTACCCATTGCAATCTTAAGAAGCAGTTTCAGCGTAGTCTTCGCAGAGTTGGAATATATATTGTTTTTTGCAGGATAAACTGTCATTAAAAACTGTTCCTGTAAAAACTAATTCTTTTGTCCAACACGAACGAAAGCTGTCATTATTTCTTCAAATTAAGCTTTAATTTTCTTTTTGTTATAATTCAGTATAATATTTTTAAACACTGAAAAAGAACCATTGCAGAAAATAAATGTCACAACATTGACCGGATACACACACACACACGTTATTATATATTATATATATATATATATATATATATATATATATATATATATATATATATATATATATATATATATATATATATATATATATATATATATATATATATATATATATATATATATATATATATATATATATATATATATATATATATATATATATATATATATATATATACATATATTCAAATAAAGCAAATATATGTGTACATACAAAAGAATGGGGGTGGTAGGAGAAGATAATATTAGTGTTCAGTGAGAAACCACAAGGTCTCCTCTGAATACTTTTTATTTTCTTCTCCGAGGCTATGGGTCCCCACATTGGCACTAGAGGTGGTACCCTCACAAACTATAATATATATATATATATATATATATATATATATATATATATATATATATATATATATATATATATATATATATATATATATAAAGACATTTTCCGAGCTTCCAGGAACAGTTGGCACACTAATGGAAAATACGAGCAGCGTCCCACACAAGGCTTAGATATACAAGTTTGTAACCGGATTTTTAAGACGAACGCTAATTGAGTTTTACAAGTCCAAATAGACTCGAGAGACTTGCATTTTTTTTATAGGAAAAGAACAGTTTCATTTAGCTCTCTTCACCGGTCCTGGCTACGGTGAATATTTTTTTCCAATGAATACTAATAGTACGAATATATTTGTTTTATCTTTTAACATTTGTGAAAGATACAAATCTCATCAACTGAGATGGTTAAGACTAATAAAAGTTAAGACTTGGAATGGTAAAGACTTGAAAGGATGGTGTTACGACTGATGTAATGACCCAAGACGTTGTGAATGTTAGAGAGTCATCATGTCTTACCCACACCAAAGTGAGGTAACACAATAAGTCACTTAACAACAGGAGCCGCCATAAATGTTATTCAACAGCACAAGGTGCCATAACGGTCATTCAAAACAGAAGATGCCATAACGGTCATTCAATAACAGATGACATAACGGTCACCCAACAACAGAAGCTGCCATAAGACTTTACGTCTGGGAAACAGGGGGAAGTAATAATCCCTTGGAACTTTTCCTGTTGCCCTCATTCTACCCCCATGGATTTAAATGAATCTATCATGTTTTCTTCACGCACACACACACACACACACACACACACACACACACACACACACACACACACACACACACACACACACTCACACATCCACAATCTGGTAAAGCTTACACAACTCTAATTTACAATTTAAAATACGATTTCTTTTCCTCTTCTGAGACTATGTTAAAACATATTGATTCGTTTGAATCTTGAATACTAAGCGAGAGTTTTAGATAGAATTCATTACTTCCACCAGCTTGGAGGGTAATGTTATGGTCATGATCTCACCATAGAGAACAGTCATGACCATATAGAATATGTTCTTATAGAAATATTGTGTCTGTTGGTACAATGGTCTGTTGGTACAGGTCATATCACCGTTGATCATCAAAACATTGATAGTAACCATGATATATATGTGCTTCCGCCTACTGTTTAGACCTATTGTCTTGTGTATGACCCTCTGTCCTGCGTGACAGTGAATACCAGCATTATCCTCACTTTAATAAGGCTTAATCGAAATCCTCAGATTAGGCAAAATTGTAATTGATTTTGTCAATAAAGATGTTAATAATAAATAAATAGAGTTGATCATCGAAGTGCCAATATAAATGTTATGCCAATATAAATGCCAATATAAATAGAACCAATATAAATGTTGACTTAATCCTATAAGATGGTAAATGAAATAAAGCAGTTGGTGGGGTTCGACCAGTGTGTTCCCACACCACTAAGGGGCCGTTTCCCCACACCTGAATTCCAAGTTATTAACCGCTGACGACGCCATTACCACCGCTACCAGCTCCCTTCGCCATCTGGTGATAATGCAAGAAGGAAGAAAGTTTCCCAATTTGGTGGAATAAGACCTAATTTGCAAATTACACTCTCATTACACTCGGTCTGATTTGTTGTAGCGATGCCTATATTTATCTCTGGCACCCAGAGCCAAACTCACAGCAACTGGCTCCCAGACCCTAGCTACCATGGTCTGACTCCCAGAACCTAGCTACCATGGTGTGACTCCCAGAACCTAGCTACCATGGTGTGACTCTCAGGGTCTGACTCCCAGACCCCTAGCTACCATGGTCTGATTCTCAGGGACTGGCTCCCAGAACCAAGCTCGGTGTGATTATGCTCTTAGGCAAACTATTTCGTATTTGCCATTCAGCCATTTCACGACTGAGAGGTAGTGCATATGTTACGGCAGTTCGGATATCCTTGGTGGCAGCTCGGGTGTCTTTGATGTTTTGATGTCCGTGGGACAGTTTGGATGTCCTTGAAGCATTTCGGGTGTCTTTGGGTGTACTTTCTATGTCGTTGGAATGTTCGAGTACACTGAGGGATTGTTCCGGCATCGTTGGAGCAGTTTGGGTGCTCTATGGAATTGTTCTGATAGTTATGTTGCTGATTGGGTGTCATTAAGGACAATTCCGATGTCCTCGAGGGCAGTTTGGGGGACCTTGTGGATAATTCTGATTTATTTTCAGAAGATTAGGTATACTAGAGGGCAGTATTTCTCCCTCAAGTCTATAACTAATTAACGACTGAACCCTAACTGTTATGAAGTTTAATGATAGACACAGCATAATTGTCTCTAGTGGCACCACAGTAACAACTTCAAGACTAGATACGATAAAGAACTCGAGCACCAGACAATTAAAAACCAAAATACCAAGTATAAGGCTATTCAGCGGGACATAGAGCTAGACCTCAATTCTTCACAGACACCGATAGGAAGGTATTGATAGGTAAGCACCACCACCCCTGCAGCACCGCTCGCACCAGTACCCAGGGCCAGGTTGAGTCATAAATCATTAGATAGAGTCAAGGCCAGTCACCCGGACTTATCACAGCTACACACACACACACACCGCCCACATTACCTACGCATCAACACCCATTGTTTCAGAAGCACTACCCACAATGCCAAGTGCCTTAATAACATTGTTCATATCGAAATAAGAGCTAACACTATCCACGGTGCCACGAGGAAAAATGCTTCCCACAGTGCCACTAGGGAAAACACTATCCGTAGTATTTCCAAGGGCAAACCCAACCTACAATTCCACTCGGGGTAAATACTACCAAGGCGTGTCATAATGGCTTCTTTTCTCAGTTCCCTATAAGGTAAACATAACGACATGAAGGGGTCGAAGCAAAACGTCTCCCAATGTCTTTTACAATAACACGTGAGATCAAAAGAGTTATCTTTAAATCTATCCATAACAATTAATAATTCCCGTTGTCGGGAACAGGATGCATGTACCTAGGCCTGTATCGAGGTCCAATATAAGTCAAACTTCTGACCCTCCCCAGGATGCAACCCACAAAAGTTGCCTAACTCCCCGGTACTTATTTACTGCAAGGTGAACACATGCCTCAGGTGGACGAAAGCGTGCTCATCCATTTCTATCCCGTCCAGGAATCAAAGCCGGGATCCTCGATTTTGAGTCGAGAACGCTGTCCACTGTACAACAGGACCCTTAGTCCTCTTGTGCAGGATTTGATGCACATGAAAGAACTTGGAGTTTATTATGAATAATAATAATTTACATAATATTTCATTATAATGGCACAGACGTGTCGACCTGACAGTCTGCCACAATTTGGAAGCGACAAACTCTGAGACCCTGCAATAAACAGTCAATGGATATATATGTGCAGAGAGAGGGGGGGGGTACCCCGCTTCTCGGTGAATATAAACAGAGTTTACTCTTGGATTATGATGAAGACTAAAGCATATTTATTGGTTGGTCAGTGAGCTATTGTGGTGCAACCCGTTCTCGCAAATTCGTAAAGTCAATATTGACTTATTAACTACGTGCATAGGTGATATACTAAACATAATAGATACCCCTAAAAAGATTCATAGAAAACACCGACCTTACCTAACCTTGTTAGTATCTTAAGATAAGCATCTTATTGCTTCGTAATTACAATTATTACTTAACCTATACCTATTATAGGTTAGGTAATAATTGTAATTACGAAGCAATAAGATGCTTATCTTAAGATACTAACAAGGTTAGGTAAGGTCGGTGTTTTCTATGAATCTTTTTAAGGGTATCTATTATGTTAAGTATGTCACCTATGCACATATTTAATAAGTCAATATTGACTTATTAAATTTGCGAGAACGGGTTGTGTGGTGTCTTAAATAACCCTCCCGTGGTTGACATGTCTTAGGACGAACATCAAACCAGTGTAACGATCACGACAAATGAGTAATGGTTCTGACGAACAAAGCCTGCGAATAAGGAATGAGCTCTATGTCTGCAAACAACGGGTTGTCAATGATCAATATACCTTAAAATGCTAAGGTATATTGATCACCACAATCTGCTTTATTTACCGAGAATACTGACGACAAAAAATCCCAGAACCAATTTATTAAGAAAACTCAGTAAATTGCACTCGTAAAAGTCAAATGATTTACAATTCAGATAAATGGCAAGAAATAAAGTTGAGGAGGCGAGCTACTGGCCGAGCAGCACGCTGCTAATGAAGACACGATGACAAAGACCTGCCAATACTAGCGACTAATAATAAAAAGTGAAACAGGCAGAGTCCTAGGGAAGTAAAAGAGGCCAATATAATTTTTAGCGTCATCAGTAAAGTATTGATAGTTTCAGGTCCTGGAAATTCATCCTGGAACTTGGACGTCAATAGTGCATTATATCACATAATAGTCTGCTCAATCTACGTCACTAAACTAGACGACATATATATATATATATATATATATATATATATATATATATATATATATATATATATATATATATATATATATATATATATATATATATATATAAATTAAAGACTTCATTACCGAGAATGTAAAAATAATTCGTGAGAATTCTGTTTACAAAAGTTTAATTTATTGTCATACATTCAATACAAATAATTAAAATAATAAAAAATAGGCTGAATTCAGGAAAATACTCTAATATTTTTATATCAAACTACGAAAATCAAAGATAAACACTGCCCAGTGCCACAAGAAAACACACTACTAACAGCGCCACAAGGGTAAACACTTCTCGCAGTGCCAAGAGGATAAACACTATCCACAGTGCAACAAGGATAATCAGTGCCCACAGTGCCAAGAGGATAAACACTATCCACAGTGCAACAAGGATAATCACTACCCACAGTGCCAAGAGGATAAACACTACCCACAGTGCAACAAGGATAATCACTACCCACAGTGCCAAGAGGATAAACACTATCCACAGTGCAACAAGGATAATCACTACCCACAGTGCCAAGAGGATAAACACTACCCACAGTGCAACAAGGATAATCACTACCCACAGTGCCAAGAGGATAAACACTACCCACAGTGCAACAAGGATAATCACTACCCACAGTGCCAAGAGGATAAACACTATCCACAGTGCAACAAGGATAATCACTACCCACAGTGCCAAGAGGATAAACACTACCCACAGTGCAACAAGGATAATCACTACCCACAGTGCCAAGAGGATAAACACTACCCACAGTGCAACAAGGATAATCAGTGCCCACAGTGCCAAGAGGATAAACACTATCCACAGTGCAACAAGGATAATCACTACCCACAGTGCCAAGAGGATAAACACTACCCACAGTGCAACAAGGATAATCAGTGCCCACAGTGCCAAGAGGATAAACACTACCCACAGTGCAACAAGGATAATCACTACCCACAGTGCCAAGAGGATAAACACTATCCACAGTGCAACAAGGATAATCACTACCCACAGTGCCAAGAGGATAAACACTACCCACAGTGCAACAAGGATAATCACTACCCACAGTGCCAAGAGGATAAACACTACCCACAGTGCAACAAGGATAATCAGTGCCCACAGTGCCAAGAGGATAAACACTACCCACAGTGCAACAAGGATAATCACTACCCACAGTGCCAAGAGGATAAACACTACCCACAGTGCAACAAGGATAATCAGTGCCCACAGTGCCAAGAGGATAAACACTACCCACAGTGCAACAAGGATAATCAGTGCCCACAGTGCCAAGAGGATAAACACTACCCACAGTGCAACAAGGATAATCAGTGCCCACAGTGCCAAGAGGATAAACACTACCCACAGTGCAACAAGGATAATCAGTGCCCACAGTGCCAAGAGGATAAACACTACCCACAGTGCAACAAGGATAATCACTACCCACAGTGCCAAGAGGATAAACTACCCACAGTGCCATAAACCATAGTATTTTCCATTAAAGGTCAACAAGTTCTCAATAAACATATCATTCGAATTTTACAGCGGATTATAACCTGTACTACAAATTCCTCAACTGGGCGTTTTTTTTTTTGTTTTCTTATGTTCTTCCTGAGTTCTTATATTCTTAATATGCTGTTATGATTTTCTTTGTTCTTACGTTATGTTCCCTTTATGCTATGCTATGCTACGTTCTTCCTATGTTCTTCTATGTTCCTATGTTCTTCTCATGTTCTCCGTCTGGTGTGTTGCCAAGATAAGATTTCGTGAAGCCGTTCTTCCTATGTTCTCCTCATGTTCGCCGTCTTTGGCGTTGCCAACATAAGATTTCGTGAAGCCGTTCTTCTTACGTTCTTCCTATGTTCTCCGTCTGGTGCGTTGCCAAGATAAGATTTCGTGAAGCCGTTGCCCGGAAGAGAGTGATCTCTGAGAAGGACCCGTCAATATTTTCTCTCCTTGACGACGAGACTGCCTCAAGATGCGACGTGTTCACCCACGCACACTATTGGATATTTCAATTTAATATTCATTTTGAACGCGGCTCATGCTTTTGAGAGGTGCTAAGAGGAGGAGATTGCAGTTTAATGGATGTTTGTGATTCATTTCTATTTTTGACGCGTTATATATTTTTTGTATAAGGTCCGAGGAAGGCATATATGTGGAAGAGATAACCAGGAAAAGAAGTTATGACAACATTTTGGACTGAATAGGAATGAAACAACAGGAAGAATATGATTAAGAATAAGCAAAAAAGTTCCAAAGAGCACGACAAATAATGAGAACAACGTTAAAAATAAGGTGACTATCTTTATCATAGGTGGATATTCCCCATGTGGATATCCTTATCATAGGTGGATATCCTTAACATAGGAGGATATCCCCGTCATAAGGGGAATATCCCTATCATTGATGGATATCCCTATCATAGATGGATATCCCTACTATAGGGGAATAACCTAACATGGGTGGATATCCTACTATAGAAAGATAAACCTATTTTTACTACATATTTAAATAAATGGGCGTCAATGCAGCTATCCTACATTATATGAAGGAGTAACATGATGTATCAGGAGCTAGCTATGGTATACTAAGGTACCTAGTCATATATGCAGCTACCCTTCAATATATGTAAGGTTACATAGCATGTAACGATGCTATGACCAGTGGGTGCTTCTTCAGACCAGTGAATTAAGACAAAATACATACTGCGTGGAGAAGTGTAGGTATTTCAACAGACTCGTCAAACTCAACCCTTGACATTAAGAGCCACACTCTCATGGGTGTCTCCAGCAGGCCTTAGACTCCACTAAACATCCTCGAATCAAGATGCAGCAGCTCTTCAGCTATTGAGTTTTGACATTACCGTATTTCCAAGATGCATTTTAGTATACCAGACTAAGGTCATAGTGCCAAGAGCAGGTGTTTACTGGCCAATGAGGCCATTGGAGCAGGGCCAGAAGACCGTCCCTCGCTTAACCACTTACAGGTCCACTACATGGCAGCCACAACGCTCATGTCGAATTAACGGCTTAGGGAATCATGTGTAACTAGAAGGGTTATATAATGTAACTAGCTATCACCTTTAAGGTGGAGGCAGGAAGCAAGCAGAGGTGGTATGGGACACACCAGCTGTGCTGTGCCACTAAGGAACGGGCGTACACACATACACACATGATTTCCTATTAACGGAGACAGGAAGTATTAAGGTTATCTAGGGAGACCTCCCTGTGTAACCCACAAAAGTTGCCTAACGCCCTAGTACCTATTCACTATTGGGAGAAGAGATGCATCAGGCGTAAGGAGAAGTGTCCGTACGTTACGTTCGGACCAGGAATCAAACTCTGGCCTCATCAGCTGTGAGCTAACTGCTACAATCATCATACATGCATACCTACTTCATATATACATATCCCTTTTCATAACTAATAATATGTTCAAGGAGAGTCTCGTAGTATCCATGTGTTCATTATCATTATCGAAGTATTCATGCGTTCATTGTTATTATTGTTGAAATATTCATGCATTATCATTCTAGTAATATTCACTAGAATTCAGGACAAGAACATGGCCAAACCATTCTATTCACTCAACTCAATCTTGCAGTTGATTGACTCTTTACTGTGTGTTAATTATTACCGAGATACAGACAAAATAAAAGTACGAGATCTAAAAAGAAGTAGAGCAACATCAATAATAATAATAACAAAAATATATATAACATTACCCCTGCTAGCGATAATAACAATAATAAAGCAGAATTAATGTAATACAAATAATAATGATAGCAATATCTAAAATTATATTTCATTATATTTCCGCTGGCGAAGGAGCTAAAAGTTAAGGTTTCTTCCCAGTATGTTAATGATCAAGCCCGAGTACATTTCCTTTACAGCAATGCAACTCACAAAATGATTGTTAGACTATTCATGCTAAACGCCCATTACCAGACGAGCAACAACCACGCTGCCTTAAACACGCATTCTTTTGAACCTAAATGATGAACGCGCTGAAAGCCCATTAAGCATATATTAAAATCCACATGAAAATATGTTTTGCAGAATTTCCAGGGGGGGTAAAAAATATATAATTTTGGGGAGGGAGAGCTCAAAACACGCGGGTAATGTCTAATTGGCCTAATTATGACATTCCAGGGGAGTTTTCGTTTATTTTTTTTTTACCAATTTCTCCGGGGGAGTCGGTGGTGACGTGGCGAGCATCTTAATCTACAGGAGCAGGAGAAGGAGAGGGAAGGGAAGAGGTAGGTTAGAAGGTAGGAGGAATACAGGAAAAAATGATACAAGAGAAATGGAACAGTAAGTACGGGTAGGTGAAAGGAGTAAACTGGGAAAATGCCTGTTGGTAGAAGAGGAACGAGATGTGTGAAGGGTGTGTGTGTGTGTGTGGTGTGTGTGTGTGTGTGTGTGTGTGTGTGTGGTGTGTGAAGGGTGTGTGTGTGAAGTTGGTGTGTGTGTGTGTGTGTGTGTGTGTGTGTGTGTGTGTGTGTGTGTGTGTGTGTGTGTGTGTGTGTGTGTGTGTGTGTGTGTGTGTGTGGGTGGGTGGGTCGGTGGGGGGGGGACGTATGTTTGGTCCATCGTCACTCGCGATGAGGTCGATATCTTCACAACAAAGAACTCCACAACAGTTTTCTGCTGTGGCAGAAAACACCATCGACCGTTTTGCAGGGATGATGCTCCGGAAACTTTAGAGAAGGCAGGCCAGCTGGCGAATCAGAGAAGCTGTATCGATGTTACTCTTCCACAGCGTCGTTTATGACGAGAACTGATTAATAAAACATAAATATTTAAGTAAATACTTATCTGACAGAGGGCGCAGCATCCTGAGGATTACTGGAAGCACGCTCCGCTGAGCTCTTGGGGAATATAAATGGACCTCTCGCAGCCCAGCCGTGTTGCCGGCCTGTTCTGTTTTCTTTCCATATGTCATGTGTGCGTGCGTGTGTGTGTGTTTGTGTTTATTTACTATTTGTGCATGCAGCAGCTGTTAGATCTCGAACCCTGCCCTTCTAAACGTCGGCTGTCTAAGGTACTGACTCCCGACCAATTTTGTTCTCTATCATATATGCTACATATATTTATCTCAAACACACACACACACACACACACACACACACACACACACACACACACACACACACACATCACACACACACACACACACACACACACACACATACACATTCCCAGGATGCAGCCCGTAACAGTTGTCTAACTCTCAGGTATCTACTGCTAGATAAACAAGGGCATCAGGTTAAAGAAACTCTGCCTATTCATTTCGGCCTCGGCTGGGAATCGAACCCGGGCTCAAAGGACTACGAGCTCGAACACTGTCCGCTCAGTGTATGTATTTTTACAGAAAATAAAAAGTTCCAGTTTCGAAGGGAAGGGAACTAGCAGTTGATTGCGCCAAGAAATATTTGCGAGTAAACTCAAGAGATCAACTAATTTCTCTTAGTTGAACCCTGATTTCATTCGCCAAATTTAACCTTTTGTAACTGATATAGAATAAAAAATACACATACAATCTAAAACCAAAAATCATTATAAGATTAAACGTCACATTGTATATTATGTCTTTGGGGAATCCTGTAATGTACTGAATCCCATCCGCTGTCAAAAGGATTCAACCTTTAACGGTTTAGTCAGACGTAAATCTTACCACGTAACAATGAATACAGAGCAAACTATCATACACAAGGAAAGAGGAAGGGGTTGGCAAATGCTAAGAACGTAAACCACGGAATTTAACAAGTTTATAGCTTTGAAGAACATTTGATAAACAGTGTGTGACTGATCTAGCAACATTTTATTGTACAGCTAAAAATATATGTATTGTAATCCTTGCCACCAGCAACTTACAATGCTCGTGGCTTGGCCAGGTCATTCAACTTAGTGGAGGCCTGTGGAGCTATCGTAACATCACAAGTTGACAAACTACTGAAACTATCTACGAACCAGAGCTGGACAGATCCTATTGGAAAATGGACAACATAACCCGCTCGCGCGATTGATATTCGACTTATCTCAGAGTCCGGCAATTTCCCTAAATTCAAGGAAATCTTCAGCTGAAGAAACAGGTGTTTCAGTGGTGAATGGTGTAACTGAACATTCTCAATAGTTCATACTGTTTCACTTTCTCTTCCAACCAAGATATTAGTACCTTGAAACAGCTAACCTCGTACTGTCCTCTGAAGACTAATTTCGATATGCAACTGTAAAACAATTATAGGTTAACGTTTAGAAACATCCATGTAATCCTCTGTAATCCTTACGAAACTTTCAGTACTCTCGCTTGACCTTACACAAGCTAGAGTACTGACCCCTGACCTTACGTTAATAGACACCAATTTAGGCTATCATAGCTCCTGGCGCTACACTACCTTGTATATTACATATTACCACAGTTTCATTTCCTACCTTCCACGTATCCTTATGTTTTAATAACTGACAGATGTTTTATTT